GCAAACAAGGCATTTGCCTAGGGCAGCACTTTCATTTTCGGGGAGGGAGGGGAGGTGGCAAAAAACGCTGCCTTGTGTACTGGTGGGCCCAAGAGCTGGCTGCCACCTTTGGGTCCCCCTAGGCGATAAGGGAGATATGTCCTTTTAGATTAAGAAAAATAATAATTGGTGAGTGTATGAGAAAATGTGTGTGTGTGTGACTTGCAGTGAGTATGTTTGTGACTGTAAGTGATTGTGTGTTTGTGTCTGTCATTGTGACTATGTGTGTGTGTGTGTATCTGTCAGTCAAAAAAAAGGCCTTGACACGAATTGGTGGGGCAAATTTAGATAACGGGGTGCCAAATTTAATCATGCCTAGGGCAGCACAAATCTAGAATACACCACTGGTTACAGGATAATAAAAATCACACATATATTATTATTATTATTATTATGATATTTATAGAGTGCCGTCAAATTCCGCAGCGCTTTACAATGGGTGGACGAACAGACATGTAGTTGTAACCAGATAAGTTGGACACACAAGAACAGAGGGGTTGAGGGCCCTGCTCAATGAGCTTACATGATAGAGGGAGTGGGGTAAAATGACACAAAAAGGTAAGGATAGTATTAGACTAGTGACAGTTGCATAAGAGGAATCAGTCAGGAGCTATTAACAGTTTAATTGATACGCTTTTATGAAGAAGTGGGTTTTTAATGATTTTTTGAAGGAGTGGAGACTGGGTGAGCATCTAACGGAGGAGGGAAGCGAGTTCCACAGAAACGGTGCAGCCCACAAGAAATCTTGAAGGCGAGAATCAGAGGTGGGAGTACGGACAGAAGATAGACATAAGTCTTCAGCAGATCGTAAGGGGCCTAGATGGGACATACTTGTGGGAGCAGCATTATGTAGAGATTTGAAAGCAAGAACCAGAATTTTAAATTGAGCGCTATATTTTATACGAAGCCAGTGTAGGGACTGACAGAAGGGTGAGGCATGGGAGGTCGGGCAGACAGGAAGATGAGCCTCGCCGCCGCATTCATTATGGACTGTAACGGCGCAAGTTGGGAGCACGTTAGACCACTGAGAAGCGGATTACAGTAGTCAAGGCGAGAAAGGACAGTGGAATAGACCAACACCTTAGTCGCATCTGGCGTTAAGTAGGGGCACATGCGCGCAATGTTTTTGAGATGGAAATGACAGGATTTGGTCATAGATTGAACATGAGACTTGAAGGTGAGGTCGGAGTCAAAGAGAACACTTAGGCAGCGAGCCTGCATGGTGGAGCTGATGGTAGCACCGTTGACTTGGAGGGAGACAGACACAGGAGTAACAACACTTGAGGGAGGAAAGACCAGAATATATGTTCCCTAAACAATACATTTTTGGTGTGTGTTCAGCCCTGTTTGAGAACTGTTGAATCACATTGTAGCTGGGATATGATGTATTAACCTGGAGAATATGTAAAAATATTTTAGTGAACATGATTATATCCACAAGAATTATTGCTGTCAGACCATGACGATTTCTGCTCATGTACTGTGTGTCCCAGTCATTCTCTATGGCAAGCATCTGATTGGATCTCTTATCGGTAATGCTCACATCACAGGAGGCGGGTGTCTAAGGATTGGTTCTCCTTCCATGACAGAGAGTGTCAATCCTGAGCAATGAGGCTATCCAGAAATTAATATCTTTTCATTTCAAAATGAGAGCAGAATTATTTAAACAAATTAAAAAAGGAGCACGCTGGGTATAAAATAAATATATTTAATACTATTGTTAAGTTAATTAGTGATATCGACTTGATTGCAATCTTACCATTTTGATAATTTTGACACTTTATCAGTTCAAAAGGAAGATGGCCATACCTTATATTAACCAGTTGAGGTAAAGCGATCACTATCCTTCTGAACATGATTTATAAAAATGTTAACAGCATTGTCAGCTTACTAAATTCAACAACCAAAAGGATGTGATAAAGAAAGATTAAGTGGTTATGGTTCTTGGAGTGACCATTTGAATCACCAGCAGATATAATGTTAAATGAATCCATGTGCAGAGAACTTTCTGACCTCTCTGCAGTTGTGCTAAGAGACCGGTATTGGTACAATGTACCCTCAGTGATCATTCGAGAAGAGCTCATGGTCGTGTAATGATGAATTTCTCAGAATCTGAGATCTGATGAAGTGATGCGAACGGACAGGACCTCATGATTACAGCTTTTATGACAAACAGAACACAGTGTTCAGATGATAATGGGCCAAAAACAATAATTAAAAGCAAGAGATTAGATGTGCAGAGATATGAAACGCGAGGGGAACAGAGATAGCTGGTTGTCATCTTGAGTGCTTAAATATCCCATTAGGGACCATCAGACAATCTGCAATGTGAGGTGTCAGAGTGGCACAGTTATACAGAGGTTATGTGAACACTCTATAGTGATTAATTTGTTTGTAGATACAGCACTTTAAAAATATATATCAACGGGACATTTCTTAATATGGTTATTGGAAACAATTGCAGTAAAAATGTCACATTTTTACTGTTAGCAGAATTCATGTGAACATGATCACTCCAGCTAGAAAACCTAGACAGAAAAGCAGTGAGGAATAAAAGCAACCTTTCCATGTGAATTGACCTTACTATCCAGAATATTACACATTTTTGCTGTTTCCCTGACTATTAAACAGAAAATTACAAGAATATCTAACATCCAGAATCCATGATATACAGAGATTTAGAACTCAAGAAGAGAAGAGTGACCCATTCCAAGTGAGTTTTCTCTCTCCTGGCATTGTTACATAGTTACATAGTTACATAGTTGAAAAGAGACTTGCGTCCATCAAGTTCAGCCTTCCTCAAAAATGTTGTTGCTGTTGTAATCTCTTATAATCTCTGACACTCTCTACCATAGAAGGAGAACCAATCCTTAGACACTCTCTACCATAGAAGGAGAACCAATCCTTAGACACACTCTACCATAGAAGGAGAACTAATCCTTAGACACTCTCTATCAAGGAAGGAGAACCACACTCTCAGTCATGGAAGCAGAACTGATCCTTAGACACTCTCTACCATTGAAGCAGAACTGATCCTTAGACACTCTCTGCCATAGAAGGAGAACTGATCCTTAGACACTCTCTACCATGGAAGGAGAACCAATCCTTAGACACTCTTGACCATGGAAGGAGAACCAATCCTTAGACACTCTCTACCATGGAAGGAGAACTGATCCTTAGACACTCTCTACCATGGAAGGAGAACCAATCCTTAGACACTCTCTACCATGGAAGCAGAATTGATCCTTAGACACTCTCTGCCATAGAAGTAGAACCGATCCTTATACACTCTCGACCATGGAAGGAGAACCAATCCTTAGACACACTCTGTCATGGAAGGAGAACCAATCCTTAGACACTCTCTACCATGGAAGGAGAACCAATCCTTAGACACACTCTGTCATGGAAGGAGAACCAATCCTTAGACACACTCTGTCATGGAAGGAGAACCAGTTCTTAGACACTCTCTACCATGGAAGCAGAACTAATCCTTAGACACCCTCTACCATGGAAGCCGAACTGATCCTTAGACACTCTCTGCCATAGAAGGAGAACCAATCCTTAGACACTCTCTGTCATGGAAGCAGAACTGATCCTTAGACACTTTCTACCATGGATGGAGCACCAATCCTTAGACACTCTCTGCCAAAGAAGGAGAACTAATCCTTAGACACTCTCTACCATGGATGGCCACCGATCCTTAGACATTCTCTACCATGGATGGAGCACCGATCATTAGACACTCTCTACCATGGGCGTCCGCAGGGGGGGGCAAGGGGGGGCACTTGCCCCCCCCTGGATTTTTCAGCTTGTTCTGCTGTTTTTCGTGTGAGATTTAAAATGAACTGCAATACCGGCGCCGGCTGTGTATGGAGAGAGACAGGGATAGGAAGCTGCATCTTATCCCTGCTTCTCTCTGCTGATTGAAACCGCAGGGGAGCAACACATGCAGCCAGAGACAGCCTACAGATCAGGTAAGTGAGGGATGGGGGGAGGGTTTGAGAGGGGGGGCAGCAGCCTATAGATTTGGGGGCAGCAGCAGATAGATGGGGGCAGCAGCCGATATATAGATTTGAGGTTTCATATTTTGGGCAGCAGCCTTTAGATTTGGGGGCAGCAGCCCATAGATTTGGAGCAGCAGCCTTGATTTGGGGGGGGCAGCAGCCCATAGATTTGGGGGGGGGCAGCAGCCCAGATTTGGGGGGGCAGCAGCCCATAGATTTGGGGGGCAGCAGCCCAGATTGGGGGGCAGCAGCCTAGATTTGGGAAGCAGCCCATAGATTTGGGAGGGCAGTAAGTCTATGATTTGGGGGCAGCATTCATAGTTTGGGGGCAGCAGCCCAGCAGATTTGGGGAGGGGGCAGCAAGCCCAGGGGAGGGGCAGCCTATGATATAGAAACAGTAAAGGTCAGCAAGGAGCTGAAGGTAAAGCAGCACAAAGGTAAAGGAAGGAGCAAAGGGGCAGAAGGAGCACAAAGGTAAAATAGGAGAATGAGTAGGAAGGGCCTGCAAAGAGCAGGAAGGAGCACAAAGGTAAAGGAGCAGAAAGAATCAGAAGGAGCACAAAGGTAAAGTAGAAAAGGGAGCAGAAAGGGTCTGCAAGGAGCAGAAAGGGATCAGAATGAGAAAGGAGCAGAAGGGCGCTAAATAAGCAGAAAGTAGCAGAAAGGTAAAAGAGCAGAAGGGGCCAAGGATAGAAAACAGTGTCAGAAGAAAAAAAGACTGTCAAATGAAGGAGAGGAAAAGGAGATTGGAGCAGGAAGGACAAATGAAGTGAACCCTCCACTTTATTCTGGACACCACATCATAAGGCTTTGGTACCTGGGCCAGGCAGGGAAACGCTGGACCTTCTCATCTCCAAAGGTAAAAAAATATCAGTATTAATGTGTTCACTTTTATTTACTGAGTGTCAGGAAGCACAGAGTGCCGTTGGGTAGGGGTGTTGCTGATTGGCTAGAGCTGGTCAGCTGGCACTCTAAGCCAATCAGTAGCTCCCCATTCATAAAAAAGTAAAAATATTTTATGAACCGGGAAGTAGCGATTGGCTTAGAGCGTCATCTGTCCACTCTGGCCAATCAGCGGCACCCATGCCTGACGTCAATCTGCACTTACTGACACTCCGTTTCAGAAGCCAAATACCACTGAGCGACCTGGAGCTGGAGGAAGCCTTTGGGGTTAAACCATTTGAGAGCGATTTAACCCCTTAAAGGAAAGCGAGCACCCAGGGGCTTCCTGGCATCATAGCATTTTCATTTAGGTGAAGTTGTTATGGTGACCAGAAATGTCCTTTAATTTGCTTAAGGGAACACTATAGTGTCAGGAATACAAACATATATTCCTGACACCATAGTTGTGAAAACGCTATTCACCCTGGCTTTATGTGATAATGGATATGCCCCTTCCCTTACATGACACTGTCAAAAAGGTACCAAGCATGGATGTCATTACAATTATGCCCCCCCCCCTGGAAAAATTCCTGCGGACGCCCATGCTCTCTACCATGGATGGAGCACCGATCCTTAGATACTCTCTACCATGGATGGAGCACCGATCCTTAGACACTTTCTACCATGGAAGCAGAATTGATCCTTAGACACTCTCTGCCATAGAAGTAGAACCGATCCTTATACACTCTCGACCATGGAAGGAGAACCAATCCTTAGACACACTCTGTCATGGAAGGAGAACCAATCCTTAGACACACTCTGTCATGGAAGGAGAACCAGTCCTTAGACACTCTCTACCATGGAAGCAGAACTAATCCTTAGACACCCTCTACCATGGAAGCAGAACTGATCCTTAGACACACTCTGTCATGGAAGGAGAACCAATCCTTAGACACTCTCTGTCATGGAAGCAGAACTGATCCTTAGACACTCTCTACCATGGATGGAGCACAGATCCTTAGACACTCTCTGCCAAAGAAGGAGAACTAATCCTTAGACACTCTCTACCATGGATGGCCACCGATCCTTAGACACTCTCTACCATGGATGGAGCACCGATCCTTAGATACTCTCTACCATGGATGGAGCACCGATCCTTAGACACTCTCTACCATGGATGGAGCACCGATCATTAGACACTCTCTACCATGGATGGAGCACCGATCCTTAGATACTCTCTACCATGGATGGAGCACCGATCCTTAGAGACTCTCTACCATGGATGGAGACCGATCCTTAGATACTCTCTACCATGGAAGGAGAACCAGTCCTTAGACACATTCTACCGTGGAAGGTATACTGATCGTTAGACACTTTCTACCATAGAAGGAGGACTGATCCTTAGACACACTTTACCATGGAAGGTGCACCAATCGTTAGACTCTCACTACCATGGAAGGAGCACCGAGCATGGAAAGGAAGCCCTAAGCTGTAATAATACAGCATTAATGTTGACTAACCCCTTTCTGACCAACAGCACACACAGTGAACACAAGAGACAGGAGAAAGTTGCATCATATACTAATGTAAGATTTATCACCATCATTGATATAATTTAACATATAAATAAAACTTGTGGCACACCTCCTCAGAGAAGGTCATAGGCCTAACCTTTCAACTCACATTAAGCTTAGTACATTGATCAGATTCCTCACCGTGTTCCAAAGAAAAATCTATGCTGGCTTCTCACAGAGCTTAGCACATTGGTCAGATTCTCCATCATAGTCCCAGGAAGTATTTTACACTGGATTCTCACCCAGCTTAGTGTATCAGTCAGATTCTCCATCATAGGTCCAGGAAATATTTTACACTGGATTCTCACCAAGCTTAGTGCATCGGTCAGATTCCTCACCGTGGTTTGAAAAGCACTCCATAACAGTGAAAGGTAAACCCTCCATGAGATGTATGTAACTACCACCGATGATAAAGATATTGAGCTAGAAAGTTACTGATTCGATCTGACAGAGAAGCTGTGTATGGTGGAGAGATACTTTATGGCAGAGTCTTGAACTGGGACAGTTTTGGGACCTCATTTAATGCAGTGCCTGCCTTAACCTTCCTTTTCTCTCATATAGAAAACCCCTGGACTGGATACTACAGTCTTATGGATGTGTAGCTGGTAAAATGACCCAACCCCATGACATACGAGGAGATCATAAAGGCAGAGATCCGCAGGAAACAATTACTTTGTAGCAGAAGTTTTACTATCACCATAGAGATCTTATAACTAAACCCAATGAATAATGGGCAAGGAAAACAACGATACATCTGCCTATCTCAAATCCTCATAGATCTTAAACATGCTCTTTCTATAATCATAAAGGGCTGCGGAATATGTGGGAGCCATATAAATGTGAATAATAAATCCATGTATTGTGTCCTTGTGAAAAGTTTACACATATTATATCTGATGGGAACCCGTGATCACACTTGCTATGAAATGCTGCAGTATTAGTGGCTGATGTGGAAATTAAAACCTCTTTATATCCTTGGGGTAACATATACCTAGAGTTTAATTTCTGTATTTATACCCTACCCTTACCTTTTGTGTTACTCTACCCCACTCCCTCTAGCATGTAAGCTCACAACCCATCTGTTCCTGTGCGTCTAAGTCATCTGGTAACAAATAGGTGTCTGTTAGTCCACCCATTGTACAGCGCTACGGAACTTGCTGGCGCTTTATAAATAACAATAACAAATGAAAATTTAACATATCAGACATCATTTTCTTTATCATTCATAGCTTCAAAACACTTTCTTTTAGAGGGAACCAGAATCACAAGAAATACATACCCAGGACACAAATCCTAATTAATTCAATTTGTGTCTAAAATCTCTTGTTATAAAGCACTTGTCACACACGGCTCTGTGGGGCAACAGATAGCTTTCTATTGTGTTCTGTCTATGTGGGGTGATTGTAAAGAGGTTACACTTAAAGCGAACGGCAAGCATTAAAATAAGTTTGTTTTTTACCGTTTGTTTCACCGGGACTCTGTCTGGAATTCTTTTGGTGCAAGTTGTTAGACTTGAACCTTTTGATAAACAGCCTCAGCTACGTGATGCTGCCGGATGCCTAATGGTTTATCGTATCTCGCTGGTAAAGCCATAGTCTCTGAACCCGGGGTATGTCACGCTGATAGATTCATATCTAGCCATGGCATGTGTTAGCCTCTGTTGCCATAGGATTATCAAGCCCTCGGCTGTAGAATGCAGCCCTGCTATTCAGACATTCAGATTCTTAATTCAAAGCATCCAAGAAGTAATATTTGCCAACATTAAGCCCGACTCAGGCCTAATAAAAGTCACATAAAGGGAGATGTGAGGAAAATGCATGGAATTGTTAAGACAAATATTTGTCTAGAACGGGAATGACCTGGAACAATGAAAGACAAATGGCTTTAACTTTGCATTGAAGGCAGAAGGATTGTCTCTTAATCTTGCCGTAAAAACTAATTTTAGGATTTTCTTTAAAAGAGTCTTTCACTGGGCTGATGGTGTAGGAAACGCAGAACACGAAAAGTGTCACTGCCCAAAGAATAATACGAGCTAGTTTCAAAATCAAAGAGAAATGTTCACATTCCATGTCTTACAATAATCACATGCACTATAGCTGCCCGAAAAATGTGTCCTAATACAAAGCAGTTTATAAAAATGAATATATTTAATAAATGGCTTAATTAAACTGTTTGAATTCTGGAAGACTAATGTCTACTAATGTTTACTAAACAGTAAAGTATTAAAAAAATATTTCAGACAAAATTGGTGGTGAGAACCCACAAATAGATCATATGAAATTCGGGAAATTAACCCCTTAAGGACAAAACTTCTGGAATAAAAGGGAATCATGACATGTCACACATGTCATGTGTCCTTAAGAGGTTAAAGAACATTACTGTGCTGGATAAATGAGAATAATGTCATCAGGATGTCAACAAAAGGAGAACCAAGTTTCACGATTATGTCAACACGAGAGCAATAGATGGAAAGAACATTATCAGAATTAAGTTAACTAACTTTCTAAATCGTTTCGGCCAGCAGAGAAAATATTCTCTACCTGATATCAAAGTGATGGCAAGATGACTGGGTCAATCATCTCCAAAACGGCAAGTTTTGAGAGTTGTTCCTGCAATGCAGTGGTTTGAACCAACTAAAAGTGGTGCAAGGAAGGACAACCGGTGTCAGGGTCATGGGTGCCCAATGCTCATTGATCCATGATCGGAGGGAAGACTAATCCGTCTGGTCCAATTACACAGAAGAGCTACTGTAAATCAAATTGCTGAAAAACATAATGCTGCCATGATAGTGCATCACATTTTACTGGGTACAGGGGCTGTGAAAACCACAGACTGGTCAGAGCCTCCATGATGACTTTTGTGCACCACCAAAAGCACCTTCAATGGGGACATGAGCATCAGAACTGGACCATGGAGAAATGGAAGAAGGTTGCCTGGTCTGATGAATCACATTTTTTTTTAGTTCAGGCCAGTGGAAGCAGTGTTATGCTCTGGGCAATATTCTGCTGGGAAACCTTGAGTCCTGGCATTCATGTGGATGTTACTTTGATATGTACCACCTGCCTAAAGATTGTTGCAGACCACATAAACCCCCTTCATGGCAATGCTGTTCACCGATGACAGGATAATACCCCTTGCCACACTGCCAAAATTGTTTGGGACAATAAGTTCAAGATATTGCCTTGGCCTTCAAAATTCCCCCAATCTCAATGCGTTTGAGCATCTGTAGAATGTGCTAGAAAAACATCCGATTCACAGGTGCCCCACCTCGAAACGTGCAGGATTTAAAATCCATGCCTCAATGCCTCAGAGCTTTTTTGGCAGTATGAGGGGGACCTACATGATGTTAGGCTGGTGGTTCTAATGTTGTGGCAATTAGTGTATAGTGTCTTGATGCAGTACTTCTGTTCAGTGTGAAACTTTTTGAAATGGGGCCAGGCTCTCGGTGCTGGAAACCCTTGTTCAGCTTTAAAACATTGGAAAATGGCTTACATTTAATAGAGGGGACTAGAGGTACCATAACTACTTTAACCCCTTAAGGACCAAACTTCTGGAATAAAAGGGAATCATGACATGTCCTTAGATGAAGTGGTAATTGTCACGATTCGGGAACCTAACACGCTAACAGGTCACAGAGAGGAAGGGTGCTAGAGCGGTCCTTAGAGTGGCTGGGTTAAAGCACACTAAGAATGGTCAGGAGACAAGCCAAGTAAAGGGAGCCAGAAAACAGGAGAGCGAGAAACAAGCCGAGACTAAAGGAATGGAGAATACAGGAGAATCGAAATAACAAGCCAAATAATCGGTAACCAGAGAGAAACACTAGCAAACTGCACTACAGGTATCACAAGACCA